GCATTCTTGACATTAGAAGCATCAACAGGCTGAGATTTCTTCAGGACAACAATCTGTTTGAGAAAAAAGATTCAATCAACATAAATAAACTCATGCGATAGACCTTTGCTACTGTGCTCTTAGTTTAAGGAAAAGAATATAAAATTGATGCCTACCTCCTCATTCGCTTGAGCACGAGCAGAGGCAAGTTCAGCGAGCCTTAATATCAAACTTTACTTAACCGCAAGATGAGTGACGTACAACTGCAAGGAATAAGATCTTCGAGAAGAAGGAAAACTCACGCTTCAGTTTGCGCTTTCATCGCCTCAGACAACTTATTTTCCAATTCGATCAACTTCTTCCGGAGTTCCGCGTTCTCAACTTCTAGCTCAGCGCTGGAATTCAAAAAAATGAAGCAGATGTAACCAAATATTAAAATTCTTTTCAGAAATAACCTCCTTCCGTTTCCTTGGACCACTAAAACCTGTTTCTCTGTTTCAGCAGCTGCGAGACGAGCACTCTTTTCAGCCAATTCTGCCTCTTTTGCAAGCAGTTTCTGTTCAAGCTCATCCTGTTCTTTCTTGCTGAAAAATCCCAAATCGATACAAAGTAGAAGCCAACGAAAAGCTCAATAAATCAAATCCACAAAGCTCACAATTGCTCGAATTTGGCGACCTCTTTGTTGAGTTCATCCACGAGATTTTTCAAGGAAGTATATTCGTTCATCAGTGCTGCCTCTTTCTGAAAACTTGATATTCTGAGAAGACGGAAGTACTATACATCCAGGGAACTAGAATGGTAGGTAAGAAAAAAACAGGTAGCTGTTTAAAAACAATAAGGAGGCGTTTGTTTTATCAGCGGTCAATAGAACGCGAAAGCAAGCCGAACAACCAAGGAAGCGAGTTTTGGAAAAGGGCCCTGCTAACTACTTGGCATGTAAGAGCTAATCGCGGTTGAGAAAATTTACACAGCATGTGGGCCACTAGTGCCACCTGGCTTTGACAGAGGACGTGAGCGCATATTAAAGCCGCAGTGCAACACAAGCACACAATCAAAATGTTGGCATGGTTTCAAGAGTAATATGCTCGATACAATAAATAAAACTTGCTAGGATATCATAACGAGCAAACCTTACTTTCCTATTACTCGAGGCTATTGCCAACGTGCTCAATAATAGCATTTAAGAAAAACCTTACTGCAGAATGTTCTTGTCAACCATACAATGGTAGAAACATCAGAGAAACACATGACAACCCTGAGTGAACATAACACAAACAACACGTCCACTCTCTTCCTGCCCTTCACCATCAAAACAATGTGGCCCTTAACGCGCTACGTCGCTAAAGTTCGATTTACAATATAAGAGAGGACAGCAAGGGAGGGTTAACCAAATGCTCAAAATCACTGGTGTGCGAGCGGAAGGGCCAGAAATAAGAGTCATAGCGAGGAACATCAGTGAAGGAAACCCACTGAATCAGTGGCATATCGATTTTCTCGTTGCAGCCTCCTTACACCAAAACCGCAATGCTAATTTAATTCGATTCAAATCCAATAGCTCCCATTTTTAACTATTTCGAATAAACCTCGAGGAATAGAACGTAAGAAATCACACTGATAATTAAACTGATTTAAATGTTTCTAGTAAAAAGTGGAAGGTTCA